ATAAGAGACAGCATTCTAATGGAAGCACACGGAGCTTTATGAAATTATGTTTTAAAAATTTAATAACAAAGAGTGAAATAATTCATTCGTATCGTGTTGCTATCGTCTCTGCGTCATGACCTGCTTAAAATGATGTAGGACGCCCGCTATATTGTGGCCGGCAGTACAGTCCTTCGCTTGCACAGAGTAGTAGTAGAGTGGAGTAGGATCTATTACAGTTATGCTTATAATAATTATATCACCTCGGAATGTAAAAAGACTACAATACACTAAATAAACCAACCGAGAGACAAATTTGGTATTTCTAGGTAAAAAAGCAAATGAAATAAACACGCACCAATTTAAACATAAACCCCTCTGCCACTGTTGAATTTCGTAGTGGTGGCCTAGGAAGTCATACCGACAGGGGTCCAACAAATCCGACTGTCGGTCCGTGCCTAATATTTGCCGATAGTCTCTGTTGTCTGGGTCCCGCAATACCCTGGTGGGGTTCATGGGGAGGGTTTTATGGTATCAAGATGGCCCACAATTTTTGCTTTTCGAAAACCAGACCGCAATTTTAGGGAATGGTAATCACAACTTTATCGGGCAATATCAATTTTTCAGTCAGGCGTTGGACGATTAGGGCCCATGCTATCCAAACTGAATGGAGTGGAGATAGCAAATGCCCTGACACCCATTGGCGCTGCCACTGTTCTCTACTTCTCTGCCGAACCCACCCTTGCAGCAGTGGCGGAGCCAGCGGGTGGGGGGGGGGAGCCTGGTGGGACTTCAGTCCCCCTACCGGAAAGGTCAAGCACCACCCCCCCTCGCCGGACAGAGCTTGTCGGTCAGTCAGACTATAAAACATATAAAATAGGCCCACACCAAGCCAACACATGTCTCTCACAATCTGAGAGTGCCATTTTCGGCCATCCAGAGGTATATTCTTTAAAAAATATCATTTGGGAGGGGGAACCCCTCTCAACCCCTTCACCCAGCTCGCGCCTACGAGCTCAATTCCCCCTGTCGGACAACTTAGCCTCCCCCCACCCCCAGAAAATATATCCTAGAGCCGCCACTGCCTTGCAGTAGTGAATCTAGGAGTGGCGAAGGTGAAGTTGGGAGTAGGAAAGAGGCATACATTAGCAAACCAACTTTGAATTTTCATGAATGAAATTCCTGAAATGTAAATCCAGTGACTATTTGGATTTACTCATAAATACTGTATTTACATCCACTACAATTATAGTTTTTTGTTTAAAAGACCCCATCCTTCAACTTCCTTATGCACAAATTATAGATGGCGCTATTTGTATTTATTTGTAGGCCTACTTTTACCGACCAATGCGATGAATATATTAATATAATGATTAGTTCAATTCTGTTTACTATATTTATGAAATACATCAGTCGCACTGTAATCTGAAATCAGCTTTACAATTATTACCTGGTCGTATTTTATACATTCATGCTCAGAACACAAATGTTCACAGTGTCACAAATGTTTCCATATTAATAACTTGGCATGACAATTTTCAATTTTAAGACTACCAAATAAGCCCATGTATTGCACCTTAACCAGAGTAGCATTCCTAAATACATACTTTATTTTATCTCGCTGCTTGAATTAGGCCCATCTAAAAAAGGTTATCCACTCTTAAACAATCAAATTGTTTTATAAACTACTGAACGAAAGACATCTTTTTTATATTATTATTTATTCAGCTAAGGTACTAGGGCCAAGGATATGCCAAGCAGTGAACCTTTTCTCTTCAAAGTTGCAATCTTGTCACAAGACAAACATACGCACAGGATGCTCTACATAGACTAAGCCTCCGAAGGCTTAGGGAGTGGGGCTGTTTGGTGGTGAGAAAAATCATGTTACAGTGAATTGAACCCAGGACCCTGTGAGTTTAAAGGAATCATCTTAACCATCAAGCTATTCAACTCCATTCCGCTTTGTATATGAATTAATATTAACAAAATCAGTGACGATTATCATGATAATTCGACATATAAGTATAATACTATTTGGTGAGATAATTTCATGGTTTCATGGATGCAAATGATAATCAGTGGCAGGCTAAAGACCATCTTAAAAACAATAATAATAATTACTTAAGCTAACGTGCTATAGGATACGGTATTGGAAAGAAGAGAAACAAAGTTAACGAGAAAATACCCATTTGCACTATCTAGAAAGTTAACCAATTGGCGTTGGAAAATATCTCAAATGATCAAAACAGAGCCTGCAGGCCGAAGACCCCACTCGTTAGGAAACTTATTACCGTAACTTTAAGCCTATTCTGTTAATCGTGAAGGGGTTTCAGTGTCGTGTACTAAGGTCAATACGATGTTAATTGTGATGGTTGAGCAAACTGTATTTAAAAAAACAATGTATGCAATGAAACGTAATTTATCGTTTGGAAAAGACAAGCAGGTCTTTATCTTTTTTTTTTTCATTTTTGTCACATTTTTTTTTTTTTTTTCTGTATTGTGAGTTTTGGATTTTAGTTTTATTTTATTGTGTACAAATTGTACTGGGATTTTTTTTTATAAAAGGCTAAATAATGAATCAATCGATCAATCAATCATAATATTAATTGGTGAGATAATTTCTTGGTTTCATGGATACAAGAATGATAATCAGTGGCAGGCTATATCTTGTGAAGGCCATCTTAAGAATAATAATAATAATTTGCTTATCGGAACAAACACGCTACGCTAGGATACGGTATGGCAAAGAAAAGAAACAAACTTAACGAGAAAATACCCATTTGCATTATCTTGGAAACCAACCAATTGGCGTTAGGCCATAAACATGGTCAAAACAGAGGAGCCTGAAGGGCGAAGACCCCAGTCTTTTGGGAAACTTATTACCATGACGTGTAGCCAGTTCATCGTGAAATGGCTTCAGTGTCGTGGACTAAGAGAACAATGCCATTTTAATGGTAACGATTGTTTTTTAATGGTAACGGTTGATCTCAATGCAAAGGTCATTTATAAT